CTGATTGCTTAGGAAATCTGGGTCCTGGGGGGGGAAATGGGGGTCCAGACACCTGTGCAAGCCCCCCACAGACAGACAGACACCCACATTGACTCCTCTCTTTATTGCCCTCAGCCCTGCTTCTCTGCGGCCCAAGCTGGGGGGGGGTCTCCAAGGGGGGGGCAGCCCAAGCCTGGGTTCTCTGCAGATGAGGTGCTCCTTGCTGGGGCCTGGGCTGGAGGCTAACAGGGACCCCTGTATGGTGTGCAGGGGGGGAAGGGCCCAACTGGGGGGGGCTGGTCCAGGGGCAGCAAGGGGGTCCACTTGTCCAGGGGAGGCCATATGGGGAGGCCAGTCCAGGGGAGGCCATATGGGGGGGTCCCCCTCATCTCCAGGGGTCTTCAGCAGCTCTCAGTCTGGGAGGGGCAGTTCAAGGCCTTTCCAGGGGGGGTTCTCCAACCAGGTCCCTGTCTCAAAGCAGCTCAGGCAGGGGGACCCCCATCAGGGTCCAGTTTTGGAGGGAGGCTCCCAGAGGATCCAAATCTTGGGGTGCAGGATCAGGCCCAGTCTGGGGGGGGGTCCCCCATCTCCATGGGGTGGTCCTCCAACCAGGTCCACTCCTGGGGGGCCCCCCCCTCCCCCAGCAGCTGAGGCAGGGGGGTCTCCATGAGGGCCCAGGTTTTTTTGAGGGGATCTCCAGAGGCTCCAGTTCTCAGAGTGCACCATCATGCCCAGCCAGAGTGGGGGTCCCCACCTGTAGGAGGGGGTCTCCAGGTCCAGTTGGAGGGGGGCTCCAGGTCCAACTGAGGCAAGGGGTATCCACTGGGATCCAGCTGGGGGGGCAGGTCTCTGCAGGTCACTGGGTGCAGGATTAGGCCCAGTCTAGGCAGGGTGTGCCCCATCTTCGGGCAGCCTAGGCCAGGGGTCTCCATTGGGGTGGGGCTGTGGGGGGGTGGTCTCCGCAGGTCTTGGGGCACAGGATCCAGCAGGGTCACTGGGTCTGGAGCCGGGCGACACGGATATGAATGGCAGAGTTGTGGCGGGCGCAGGGGGCAGGTGCAGGGCCATCAGGGTCACCAGGGGGGGGCTGGGAGCCGGGAGCCAGGCGCACAGTGGAGGTGGCAGGGGGCAGGTGCAGCACCCCCCCCGCACCCGCCTCCAGCTGCAGCGC